TTCTGGTTCTTTTAATCTCATTCTTTTCCATCTTATAAAAAACACTAAAGCTATTGATACCCGTATATATTAAAGTAAATTATTTAGCTCTTTATATACATTTTAGCCACTATTAAGAGCCGCTGGAGAGGGTCCAAAGAGCCATATGTGGCTCTGGAGCCGCAGGTTGCAGACCCCTGATTTAAGTTATTGTAGGTTATATTGTATTATTTCATAGCTATGTTTAAATTGAAAATATTTTTGATATTTTTAGATGCAGCCAATAAATAATGTAAAAATATATCATAAGGGGAACATTTTGAGGAAAATGTGAATGAGGATGCGGGGGGACTAGGATTTTAAATCACATTTTTAAAACGATAAGTACAGTAAAAAGATTAAATAACCTAAGAGTCAGTTTAATAATAAGTAATAATTAGTAAAATAAAAACATTTAAAAATATAACTTCTTGATATAAATTCTCGATTATCCTTGCATTTTTAATTTTTTATTATTTTGCTTTGTTACTTTGCACATTTTTCAATACATCTTCTCAACAAATGAACTAGGTTCCTTTCTCCAAACTAACTGGGGAAATATAGACCCTGACTGGTCTGTTTAGCATAACAAAAGACATTTGTTGCATAGTTAAAACAATAAACATCACCAGTCTCTATAATAAACTAAACCAGATGGCATTTTTAAATAATTAGAATTAAATTGAAATAAATAAAACTGGAAATCTGTCTGCATGTATAGACTGAATCACATTTTCTGTGATATTTGCTGTTAAACGGAGCTGGATAAATAAATAATCTGAATTAAATGTGTTCCCTATTTACTAGTCTAGGGACATTTAGATGCTTTGGTCCAAACAGTCCCCTCTATCCTGTCTCTAACAGCTGAAAGTTGAAGTCATCAAGGTTCTTAAGCCTTTAAAGGAGAAGTTAGCTCATATTCAGTATTCAAACTTTTTTTTTTTTGTAGTTTTTATGGCACTAGTGGATCGTTTTTTCCGACAGTAGACTGACAAGAAAGGGGGTATGAGGCTTACCGCACCGTGACGTCACTGCTGGAAGATGGCAGGAGGGAGGGGTTACTAAATTTGGGCAAAAATTTCCGCTCCCAGACTCAGTGATTGCGACGAAAATCATTATTTTTATTTTTTTTACAGATTAACAGTAGATTAAATCATTGCGAACGTATTAGTTTTAGGTATAAATAATGATCCATTGATCATTCTTTGCTGACCAGACTTCTCCTTTAATGTTTTTCTATAGTCTGTTAACTGGAGTCTGTCAGGGATCACATCCTTTGGTTGTAAAGACAAACTTAACCTCTGGTGAAAGTCCAAACAGGTCTGGGTTGTGTCTGCACCCTCAGGTCCCTGTCACATGATTGAAGCTGATGTTAACCTTAGAGGTCATGGACTGGAAGAGCCGATCATGGCACATCCCCCCGACACAGACAGCGACATCACACTGAAAGATTGGCTGGACGAGGTGAAGACCAGCAACAAGGGAATAAAGCTGGACTTTAAGAGGTGAGAGCTCTGCTCCTGTGAGCGAGCGAGAGGCCGGATCTGATCCTGTGGCTTGTCTCCTTCCAGCCTGGAGGCCGTGTCTCCGTCCCTGGTCCTGCTGGAGGACATGCTGGCTGAGCCTCGCCGGCCGGTGTGGATCAACGCAGACATCCTCAGTGGACCGGGTGGGACAGCCCGACCCGTGGACTCCCAGGCTTTCCTCTCTATCGTCACAGCGCTTCCCGTCCAGACGGTGCTGTCTCTTGGTTGGACGACAGGATGGGCAGCTGGAGGACAGAACCCAGGTGAATTCAGGAACTCCTGCACACTGCAAAACATTTTATCTAAATAAGTCATTTTGTTTTCTTAAAATAAGTGTATTTCTTCTTGAATTGAGGAAGAAAGTGATACACTTTGACAATAGAACAAGACAATTTACACTTAAATTAAGAAAAAAAACAATTGCATTGTCTTATTTCAAGTGCATATTATCTAATTATCTTACTTTAAGAATAAAAAACTAATTCCATTGACAAATGATCTTATTAACCTACTAAAATTAAGGGTAAAGACTAGTGATGCGTCAGTGAGGCATCTTGAAGCCTTTCAACACTCAACTATTGATACTGTCTTACTGAATACTGACACCTGCTGGACATTTAAAGACACTGCAGGCAGTTCTTTTGACAGACTAAACTGAATTAATTTGATGACCTAGCACAGATGACTTCAACCCAAACTGCTCAAAGAGCCACATTGGACCAAAAAAACAATAAATAAATCTGTCTGGAGCCGCAAAAATGTAAAAGTCTTAAATATGCCTCATCTGGCAACATATGAGGCAACATACCAAGCAGGAACTCTAAGTGTTTTATCCCACTATAGAAAAGGACTATGTGGGCTTAAATATATAATAAGCATTCATGATTAAATGTTTATC